TGCATAGCTCAGGAGTCTATTTTTGAGGCGCCTCAAAACGCCAACGTGAGTGGGGAAGACGCGGTACGAGTCAACAACCATATCCAGTTGCATTAGCTCAGCAGACAATCGTCCTTGTGATAGGTTAGGGGAGTTGAGGCAAGGGATGTGCAGGGAAGACAAGGGAGATATGGAGGGTTGTTGTGGCAGTGAACCCAAACATGCGATATAGGGCATGAACGAGTATGAGGAGCGGAGAGGAGAGGCATGAGCTTACGGGGTACCAGTCATTGGGCGGGTCGTATGGGCCAACTTTGAGCTGACCCTCCGACGCATACCAGCTGAGGGGAAAAAACGTAGAAAAAAAAAGGGGCCATTTTGTCATGAAGACAGTGGAGACATGCTGGAAAAACATCAAAGTGAGCCACAGAAGTTTGAACAAGAGCACCAAAAAATAAAATTTAAAAAATGGAGTACTGGCCAAGCGACTGGTTCTGGGATGGACAAGAATGAATTATGGGTAAGGTGCATCCCCCAGACACTAAATATGGAGGTGCTTGAGAATGAGGTTCATGTGAAGAAGTTGGGATTTGAGAATTCTCAAAAAGCAAAAGAGGTTTATGCGAAGAAGTCGGGATTTGAGACGTCACAGAAAGCCCAATGTTACACATGTAACAGCTTGCTTGCAAGTTGCATGCACAAATAGTGTGGATCTACACGAAGGATAAGTGAAGAAGGGTGCAGACTGTCTGGCAAGGGCACGCTTGGGTATGGCTTGAGTCCTACCCGTCGCACTTGAATGAGCCGGAAGAGTTGGAATGGGTGCAATCCGTCTGGTAAGGTGAGGGGGGAGGGAGGCATGCAGGGGGGAGGGGGAGGAGCATCCACGCAAACAGCGTGCTTTGTAGGAACAAAACGAAACAAAGCAGAGCATAACCCACATTTTGAAAAGAGATTTGATGAGCAGTCTCACACAATCCGAGTTTGCAGTTGATCAGATTCCAGATCCCCATGCTTGGGTCCACTGAAAGCCGTATGCGTTTTGATGCTCCTGGACCTGGTTATCAACCACTGTACCACCAACCAACCCGTCCTACCTGGAATAATCGGTCGTCAAGCTCATAGAAAGCGTCGAAGCGAATCCCTTCCCCCATGCTTTTTGAGGCGCCTCAAAAGATGTCACTTGAGTTAACTCACAAGTAACAACCATTGCACTGCTCAACCTACCCGGAATAACCTATCATCAAGCTCATAGAAAGCGTCGAAGCGAATCCCTCCCCCCATGCTGTAGGTGCCGGGCTTGCACTTGCGGCACTTGTCTCCATGCAGGTAGGAACCAGCAGGACAGGTCATATCTGTGGAGGGAGGGGGAAAGGGAGAGGTATATAGGGTGTTCTGTCCCCCCATGCTGTAGGTGCCGGGCTTGCACTTGCGGCATCTGTTGCTTTGCAGGTAGGTCATATCTGTAGAGGGTGGGGGACAGGGGAGAGAGGTCTTTCGGGTGACCTTTCCCCATACTGCAGGTGCTGGGCTTGCACTTGTGGCACTTGTCGCCATGCAGGTTGGAACCAGCAGGACAGGTCATATCCGTGAAAAGGTGAAAGGGCGGGAAAAATGGCATGGAGGGGGATGGGAGGATGGAAGGGAGTTGAACCGTCTCCTAGTGTCTCCCACAAAGGGTAGGACGACCGACAGACAGGTATTTCTCAAGTCAAGAGGTGACTTTTGAGTCGTCTCAAATGTCTCCCACAAAGGGTAGGACGGCAGACAGGAAAGTCTTTTCTCAAGTCAAGGCAGACAGGTCATTGTTTGGAACAAGGCGTGATCGCTACATGATGAATGCTGGCTAACGTCTCATGACGTGATCTCAACAATTCGGTCGGGGGAGTAGACAGGTTTGGGGAGACCCATGGGGATGTGGGAAACATTTGCAGAAAGAGAAGGGCCGGATGGACTAGCTCACACAAAGGACATACCGCATGGGATGGGGTATATATAAGCTGCGAACTTTTTGGCGCCCCTTAGTTGAAGCGCCTCAGAGATCACTCCAAACAGCGTACTGGGGCGTGCTCATACACAGTACATACCGCCCAGGGGATATCTTATGGAACACCAATTTGGTGCCATTGTGTCGAAATGTGGCAGCAACATAGGGTTCAACACTGCTCACACACACACACACACACACACACTGCATACCGCAGGGGATGTATGTATCCGGGCGATGGTAGTGCAGTAATATCTCATAATCCGGTCCTTGATTTTGAAGGGTGTTTTTGAGAATTCTCAAGATCACCTCCATCCATCTCCAAAGGTTCGCCCCACCCACACCCATATATGTGTGTGTGTGCGTTAAATGTGCTCATACAGAGCACATACCGCACGGGGTCTACACCCTACCCCACCCACACCCATATGTTATGTATGTGCGTCGGCAACCGACTCATACATAGTGCATACCACAGGGGATGCATGCATCCAGGCGATGGCAGCGGCACACATGGCCATGTGCTCGTAGAGTTGACATGAAAGGGTTTTGAAACATCACGCGTGGTACATACCGCAGCAGGGGATGGATCCGGGGGATGGAAGCCGCACAGACAGAGCCATGTGGCGTGGGTGGACATGAAAGCGCTTCAGAACGACATACGTACACAGTAGTACATACCGCAGCATAGCACATACCGCAGCAGGGGATGCATCCAGGCGATGGCAGCGGCACTGAGCCATGTGCTCTTTGAGTTGACTAAGAGAGGTTTTGACACATCGCTCCCAGCATAGCACATACCGCAGGGGATGTATCCAGGCGATGGCAGCGGCACTGAGCCATGTGCCGTGGGGTTGCAACCGCTGTCAAAGTAGTAAATCACCTGATGGGAATGGTGATGGATGGGGTGGTGATGGCGATGGTGATGGTGATGTCGGAGTGGCGAATCCAATGGAAAGTAGCTTGGCATGCGGTGCAGAGATGTGGTGCTGAGAGAGCGCAAGAATAAAACGGACCAGGAGACATGAGCTGTGTTGGTAGCACCTCGTGTCAGCATTGGCGTAAGCCAGGTAACCAGCACGTGCCTGCATGTTACCGCATATTACCACATGCCGGCATGTTACCACATGTTACCACGTGCCGGCATGTTACCACATGCCAGCATGCTACCACGTGCCTGGATGGTCTTCTCTTTGCTGAGAGCCTTATTGGTAGTTGGGTCTCGGATGAAGTCGCACTTGCCATGGATGGTGCGGATGTTGGCCTCGCTGCACGCCACAGGGGCTAGCTCTGGAGCACAAAATTATATGCATGCACACGCACGCACACGCACACGCACATGCACACGCACATGCACATGCACACGCACACGCGCATGCACACGCACACGCACATGCACATGCACACGCACATGCACACGCACATGCACATGCACACCCACATGCACACGCACATGCACACGCACATGCACACGCACATGCACACGTACATGCACACGCACATGCACACGCACACGCACATGCACACGCACACGCACATGCACACGCACACGCACATGCACACGCACATGCACACGCACATGCACACGCACACGCACATGCACATGCACACGCACATGCACACATGGCGTATGCAAGCACGATGCACACATGGCGTATGCAAGCACGATGCACACATGAGAATGCACACATGAGAATGCACACACACACACACGATATGACACCGGGGAATGTGTGCCTTCCCCGCACTCTGAGCGAGTGTTGGTGGGAGCATTAGAGAAGAGTGAGCAATGATAAGTGCAGGAGACACAGTAACCTCAAAGAAACAGGGGTTCTTTCTTACAAAGCATGCATTCCTGACTCATAAGATAATACAAGGTGGTGCTAGGTATGGTAAAAAGTACACTTACCACAAAAGAGGGGGTCCGCTGGTACTTCCCAGTTGGAGTCTCCCCCTTCGCAGTCTGGTGATGGTGTGAGATAAGGGGTCACGGTTTTGGGGGTTCAGGGGTTTTAGGGGGTTCTGGACTTCGAGTTGATAATACCCTGATACATAATATATGTGGCCCAAATGACAATAGCGAGTCAATGGAGGGAGAAATTTGCGGTAACTAAGGGGTACGAGTTACACGACGATGTGCAAACTGAATAATACAGCCTGTTGAGTAAACGCTTACTGGTGGGCTGGAAAGAAAGGGCGCAGGAGCCGTTATCCGACTTAAGGTACTTGCGCTCATAGTCCTCCGGTGTGCAATCTGTTAGGGGGGGGGGGGGGAGGTGACATAGCAAGGCACACATAGTGATATGACATACATGCGTAGTCATGGGCAATGGGCATGGCATGCAGACATTAACACATGTCTGCTGTACGAGTGCACTGCACACACACGTGGTTGTCTGACTTTAAGTAGTCTTATGGTGTGCAGTCTGTATGGGGTGTGGGTTGGGTACGGCATACAGACACACACACAAACACAAATGCGCCCTAAGGAGCATGCACGCACACATGACTGTCTACCTAAATAATTGGGAAAGCCATCGCACAGACAGAGTTCAACCAAAGCCAAGGCAAAGCGAGAGAATGCAGCATTCCTTTTCCCCGGATTCAGCTGTTAGTGAATACAGGTAATTGTGTTGCCCAGCTCGCCGCACCACAGGGAGGTCCTCTGGGCGACGAGGTGAGGTCCAGTTGGGTGGAAGGAGAGCGATGGCATCCAATCGACGCAAAAGACAGCATGCATTCAGCTGCTTCATCTCACCGCAAGGCTCTGGGCGCCACCAACTCACCGCAGGGCTCTGGGCGCGGGGAGAGGTCCAGCTGAAAGGGGTCGGTGCAGTTGCGCACTTTCTTGAAGGAGATCCGCCGCTCGCGGCCTGGAAGAGTGGCGGGGAAGAGGGGGGGGCAGAGGTGGGGCTTGAGGTTTCAGGAGTGCCTTGGGTCCAGCTGACACGGGTCGGTGCAGTTGAGCAATCGATTGAAGGAGATCCACCGCTCGCGACCTGGAGGGGTGGTGGGGGCAGAGGTGGGGTTTGAGGTTCTGGGAGTGGCTTGGTCGAGTTGGAATGGAAGGGGTTCGTCGGTGCAGTTGCAGTTGTGCACTTGCTTGAAGGAGAGTTGCCGCTCATGGCCCGGCCGGAGTGGCAAGCAACTCAAAGTGGCCGCGGAGGGAGGAAACCAGAAAGTGGCTTGGTTCCACTAAAAGGCATCTGGACTGGACCAACAGTCAACTCAACACGATTAGAAGGTCGCTGGAAGGAGATGATGTGCAAAGCTCATGGCCTGGAGTGGAGGGTGGGTGGAGCTCTGTTGGAGGTTTATTTTGATGCGCCTCAGAGTAAGGTCCTTACATTCACAGGGCGCGGCAGTCAAAGCACCTTCAGCATTCACCTTGGGAGGGCTGGCTGGCACACCAATGACCGACCTCAGATCGGCTTGAGGCTTGTTTTGAGCCGCCTCAGCTCAGACAAAGGCTGACACATCAACAGGGCGGGGCACTCAAAGCCTTCCTTAGGGCACGTTCCTCGCCTGTGGCAGACTACTTTGTGGCAAGCTTTGGCAAGTTTTTTTACGGTCACGATTGCAAGAAAGGAGATTTTGGATGATCCTGAAAGTTGAAAGAGGCAGATGGAAAACTTGCCACAAAAGTGTGCCACAGGCGAGGAACGTGCCCTTAAACGCTTGACAGCTCACCTTGGCACGGACCAGACCAGACACCCTGGCATAGTCCGACAGCTGGCATGGCACACCACTGACCTAGGCTGTCTGTCTAATCGTCCTTGGACCTCAGCTCGACAGCAGGAACACTGGCAGAGAGCTTGTTGTGACGTCGCCTTGAAGACTCGCATTTGACAGGACGCCTCACCTTTTCTTCAACCCTCACCATGGCAGGGAGCTCAAACTGGCAGGACGACGCAATGATATCCTTCACTCAACACTCACCTTGGCAGGGACCAGACACCCTGACATAGTCTGCCAGCTGGCACACCACTGAGCTAGGCTCGGGGACAGCTGGCAACGGCTCCTCCTCCTCTTCCGAGCCTAACGCAGGTGCCTCGGAAGGAGGCTCTGAAGGAGGTTCGGAGGGAGGCTCGGCGGGAGGTTCGGAGGGTGGTGCAGCAGATGGTTCGGAAGGAGGAGTTGGGGCAGGAAGGGATGGTTCGGCAGAAGGTGGCAGTGGTGCCGACTGGGATGGTTCGGCGGGTGTGGAGGGTAGTGGTGCAGGCAGGGATGGCTCGGCAGCAGGTTCGGGAGGTGGAGGTGAAGGCTCGGAAACAGGCTTGGAAACAGGTTCGGGAGCTGGGAGGGGTTCAGAATCAGGCTTGGGAGCGGAGAGAGAAGGCTCGGCAGATGGTTGATTGGTCGGGAGAAGAGGCCGAAGATCAGATGCTGCAGCTGGTGACAATGCTGGTGGTGATGGTGATGGTAGTGGTGCTGGTGGTGATAATGCTGGTGGTGATAATGCTGGTGGTGATAATGCTGGTGGTGACAATGCTGGTGGTGACAATGCCGGTGGTGATACTACTGCTGCGGGTTCTGTTGCTGCTGGGACTGCTGGGACTGCTGGGACTGCTGCTACTGCTGCGGGTTCTATTGCTGCTGCTGCTGGGACTGCTGGGACTGCTGCTGTGTTTTCTGTTGCTGTTGGGACTGCTGCTGCTGCTGCGGGTTCTGTCGCTGCTGCTGCGACTGCTGCTACTGACGAGGCAGCGGCATGGCAATGCGGTGCTGCAAGCGCCAGCACCACCACCAGCACGGACAAGGACGGTAGTTCCCGCCACGTCAGCGGCTTCATTCCAGGAGAAATGCGACAATGAGCCGCCATAGGAAGGGTATCGGGTCGTCTTTCAACTATCTCCAACTGTCTCCTTTCCGGCAGGATATGAGCGACGCCCTTATACTAAGGTGCGTGCCTGAACCTTCCCCCCCCCCCCTAAGGTCGAAACTCGACTCTAATTGAGGCGCAGAATTGAGAATCCTCTCCACAGCAACAGCAGCACCTCGACTGGTTACTACGAATACCCTCGAATGGTCGTTTCGCAACGTCTCAAATGCCTACAACGGCAGGACCCGGTCCTTCTGCTACTTTTGAGTCGACTCAAATGCAGGTCCTTCTGGCTACTACTACGGCGCGTGACCCCTCAAGAAATCGCCTGGCAGACCTAAATTCGCCAATTGCTGGCAGCCGTTCTCGTCATGGAATCTAGGAAACAACCAACTTGAGAAGGTTCTCCTGTATTCGTCAAACGGCGAATTCTGTAACCCCGTCAAACGACAACGCTTTAGTCGTCCCTTTCAAGCGATTTTGCTTGAGTTCGCCAGCCGCTTCGCTCACCTACATTCGCCAATCGTCGATCGCCATCGCTGTGGCGGAACGACTGATCAATTCTGACAGGACTGCTCGCCGCGAGACACGTGACAGCATTGCTCGTACAAGCCACGTCGTCGTTTCATAAGCCGAACCGACCTTTAGAATATCAGCTTCTTCGACTTCTACTGCTACTCCGGCTACAATCGTTTTCGAATACTGACAGCCTTTTCCGGATTTTCCGGGCACGAGAAGCAGTAGGTGAGACCAGCTGCTGAATCCTGATGGATAGTATGGTGGAAGCAAGGTGTGCTAGCTGGCGGCGATGGGTCTGTACGCGATTTAGGCTACGCAGCTCAATAGCAGTCAGGCTGTACTCGTCATGTAAACTGCGCATCGATGTGTTGATTTATGTTCCGAAAATCTTGATTTGAATTGCTAGTAATGAACTCAAGCTTCACAAGCTTTCAACTTCTGGAGCTATGTTTCGCACACAGACGTCTAAACTTATAGCGGAACAACAGAACATGAAGGAGTTTCTGTTGGAAATACCTCGAGGACTTGAGCGTTTCTGAAGTGTAACACTACACTCGAGGAAAGTCGTATCGGGTACACTAGTCAACGGAGGTTACGCGAGGAGGTTGGACGAAAGAACACGAAAGGTCGAAAGGATTCGAAGGGTTGCAACTGGAGGTTGCGACTGACCGTTGCGACTGCAAGGGTAGTAACCGAACCGACAAATCGAGTCGCTGTGCGACTCGATAACCGTCCCTTCAACTGTATTCTACAACTGTTTTATTTCCTACTTTCTATATATTACTGTATGCTTGCTTCTTTTAAAGCCCAGGTCCCAAGTTACAAGGCGCGAAGTCCCCCTTTGGAGAGCGCGGCTCGTAAAAGTGGAGCCAGGGTTTGATTGGCTGCGAGGGATGCGAAAAACATGGCTTTGAAAATTTGGAGGCGAATGCCGCCAACTACCCCAGAGCATTCGCTAACGCAGAACAATCAAGGCAGGCGCAAAACTGTGAGACACAAAAGCTCCGCCACCCACGCAGCAGTGCAGAAAACCAATCAGGAACAAAAAAACGCGAAGCAAGAGCCGAAAGAGAAACACAAATTGGTACGAGGCAGAAAAGTCCCTCTAGCCGACGATTGCGCGGTAGCAAGCGGGAAAAAAAAAAAAACGCGTCATGTGGCACCAACAACGTATGCACGGCACAAAGGGCACCATCTCTTGTCAGGCGGCAAATGCGCAACAACAGACGATGTGGGAACAAGAGCTCGAGCACGAATGAAAGACGCCAAAACGCGCAAAACCACACCAGATGGATGGCGCATCGCGTCCAGCGCTGACTACGCATCTGAAAACTGAAGAAAAAAAAATAGCAACCGCGCATCAATGTGGACCGACCACACGGCCGGGCAGATGCGCGTTACAACGCAGACTTCCGTGAGGCGTAATTGCGACCACCTGAAGAAACGCAGGGCAGCACCAAGCCCCGTTGAAACAGCGTGGCGGGAATGTTCAAGCTGGTTGGGAGTTTAGGCGACGGAATAAGCAACATAAGCCAGTCACGTCCCAAATCAGCTCAGTACCCTAGTCACTAAGCAGCAAGAACAGCCACCGCTGACGTACCCTCGAACGAACCCGAGTTCGACGGAACCGCGCAGTAGCAGACCCCGAGCCACATAACCCACAGTCGTAGACGGCCTGTCGCCGAAACCCACGATACCACCGTGCCGCCTAGAGGCGAGAGGCTGCGACCAGACAAGCAACGGCGGACGCGCGCAAAAGGTACGAGCGAGACAGAGCGACGGGGGAGGGGATGAGAGAGAGACCGAAAGAGAGAGAGAGAGATGGAGAGAGAGAGAGAGAGAGAGAGAGAGAGAGAGAGAGAGAGAGAGAGAGAGAGAGAGAGAGAGAGAGAGAGAAAGAGAGACGGAGAGTGAGAGAGAGATAGAGAGAGAGGGGGGGGGAAAGGTTGAGAGAGGGAGGGAGAGAAAGCGATAGGGAGAAACAGAGAGAGTGAGGGAGACAGTGAGATGGAGTGGTCAGCAGAGACAAAGAGATATAGGGAGAGAGAGAGAGATAGAGAGAGAGAGAGAGAGAGAGAGAGAGAGAGAGAGAGAGAGAGAGAGAGAGAGAGAGAGAGGCAGAGAGAGAGAGAGAAAGAGAGAGAGATGGAGAGCGAGAGAGAGAGAGAGAGAGCGAGAGAGAGAGAGAGAGAGAGAGAGAGGGGAGGGGGGGGGGGGGGGAAGGTTGAGAGTGGGAGGGAGAGAAAGAGATTGGGAGCAACAGAGAGAGGGATGGAGTTAGTGCGATGGAGTGGGCAGCAGAGACAAAGAGATATACACATATACATATATATATATAAACATAAAGACAGAGATAGTGAGAGAGAGAGAGAGAGAGAGAGAGAGAGAGAGAGAGAGAGAGAGAGAGAGAGAGAGAGAGAGAGAGAGAGAGAGAGAGAAAGAGAGAGGGAGAGAGAGAGAGAGCGAGGGAGTTAGTGAGATAGTGAGATAGAGGGGTCAGCAGAGACAAAGAGATTTAAACATACATAAATACGCTCGAGGAGCCGCAGACCGGGGTATACGACACCAGGTAGATTGGTGGCATAAGATCGGCAACACCAAGAGGCGATTTAGGAGGGATGTTCAGGATGCACAGTGGGCGTGTGACAGCGTGGAATCTGCAAGCGTGTGCGAACAGCTATGGCTTCTAACTGTTCCCAAGCTCCAAGGTTGGCTAAGGGATTAACGTCCGCCTGTGTTAGTGCCGCGTGCCAGCGAAGGCAAAAAGGAGCTAGTGCGTCTAGTGTGTCTTTTGAAGGGCTTTCCCTACAAGGAGATGAAGCAGTCGGATGCTAAATATAAGTACCCTGAACTACGTCTGGTCTTGTGTGTCGATGGAAGCGGGCCAAGTGCAACAGTTAGCCAACCACCAGAGAGTGCTCCAGGTCTCGCCGGAGCAAGTGGCACTATGGAAGGAGGGTTGGAGGATGGCATGTCTGTTGAGGTTACTGAGGCGGATATCGGCCCACTATGGGGATATGATGTGCACACGGTAAACGGCATTCGGCCGTCGACGGTGCCCTCGGCCATTTTGGTGCAAGCATGGACTGGAGTCGAACTGCCGCAGGTGCCTCAAGTAGGGGATGCGAGTGGGCGGGCTCCTGCAGACACTATGGCGGGCTCGATAGGTGGGTTGCTTTGTGATTCAATCTTGCCTGACTGTCCCCCTTTTTGCACTTTTGCGTTTGTTAAAACAATACACTGACCCTTTTCATTTGTTGAAATTGCAACCTAGGTCCCGACCGACGCACGTCCCACTTAGCTGCAGAGCCATGTCCGCCTAGGTCTGGGGAGCTGCAACCGGCATCCTCCATTGACGAACAGCGTGACGGCGGTGCGGCGGTAGGGGATGCAACGCCCCTGAGTGCTCCCGTACCATCGTGGCGGAGGTGGGCTGACGGAGTGCACGCCGGAGAACTGGCAGAGTGAAGGAGGTTGATGTGGCTGACCGTTTGGGCGTCCATATCGCACACGTTATGCTGCGATGTGGTGCACGGAAGAAAGCGAGAAATCCGATGACACCGGAAGAGGTGTCACTTGAGATTTGTATGGCAGGCGATCACTTTGCCGGCATTCATACTGGATGTGCACGGCCCGGGCTGAACCCAAGGTGTGTGACGGAGCATTGGGGTAGTGAGCAGGCGGTTTACCCTCCTGGGTCCGTGGCGCATGCGCGTGTCACTGAATGGCTTTGGGATAATTTTTCACCGTCCAAGGTGGTGACCATAATCGATGGGGCTACAAGTTCGATGAACGAGTCGTTCCACTCAATCATCTTGAAATACGCACCTAAGCGCCTCAGATTTCAGGGGAGTTACCCGACTAGAATTGCCGGTGCAGTGCTGCACTGGAACAATACATTGGATCGGGTTGTGAAAGCATACGTTACACGTGTACGGCATGAAACAAGGGTGCGTCGTGGCCGGAGTGACAGAGTGCTCGGTCCAATGAATTGGACGTGGGTTGACAACGTCTTGCGCGAGTGGGAGGACGGTCCCCCAGAGTCTGCAGCACCAGACGAGGAAACCGATCATGCTTCCCGACCCGCGACTCGGCGTCGGCTTTGGTCGGAATCCCCGGCTACTGGCTCGACGCCATCAGCATCACCCACTTGAGTAAGTAGGATTCCCCCCCCCCCCCCCCCCCCCCTCCCCTCCCCCCCTATTCCCTCTACCCACTTATTTTATTCCTGGTCAGTTCATCCCCTTATCTGCCATGTTCTTCCCGTATCTCCCATGCTATCCCCTAATCTCCCACGCTCCCCCCTTATCTCCCATGCTCCCCCCTTATCTCCCACGCTCCCCCTTATCTCCCATGCTCCCCCCTTATCTCTCACGCTCCCCCCTTATCTTCCATGTTCCCCACTTATCTTCCTTGCCCCCCTCTGCCCCCCTCTCCTGTCCTCCCCCCTGTCCCTCATGTATTCCTACTGTATGCACTGGATCCCTGCCCTCCTCCCTGTCCCTCACCTCTCCTCACCGCCCCTCTCATCCACTCTGTCCCCATCCATCCCTTTTCAAACCCCCCCCCATCCCCCCTCCCCTCCCCCCCTATTCCCTCTACCCACTTATTCTATTCCTGGTCAGTTCATCCCCTTATCTGCCATGTTCTTCCCGTATCTCCCATGCTCCCCCCTTATCTTCCATGTTCCCCCCTTATCTTCCTTGCTCCCCTCTGCCCCCCTCTCCTGTCCGCCCCCCTGTCCCTCACGTATTCCTACTGTATGCTCTGGATCCCTGCCCTCCTCCCTGTCCCTCACCTTTCCTCACCGCCCCTCTCATCCACTCTGTTCGCATCCATCCCTTTTCAACCCCCCCCCTCCCCCCCAATTCCCTCTACCCACTTAATCTATTCCTGGTCAATTCATCCCCTTATCTGCCATGTTCTTCCCGTATCTCCCATGCTATCCCCTAATCTCCCACGCTCCCCCCTTATCTCCCATGCTCCCCCCTTATCTCCCACGCTCCCCCCTTATCTCCCATGCTCCCCCCTTATCTACCATGTTCCCCCCTTATCTTCGTTGCTCCCCCCTTATCTTCCATACCCCCCCCCCCCCCGTTATCTGGCATCCTCTCCCCATATTTTACATGCTCCCCCCTTACATTGGATGTGATCCCCCAATATCCCTTGTGCTCCCCACATCTCCCCTCTGCCCCCTCTCCTGTCCTCCCCCCTGTCCCTCACGTATTCCTATGCTCTGGATCCCTGCCCTCCTCCCTGTCCCTCACCTTTCCTCACCGCCCCTCTCATCCACTCTGTCCCCATCCATCCCTTTTCAACCCCCCCCCCCCCCTCCCCCCACCACCTCTCCAGTCGGCATATCGTTTCGCCACCAGGCCCGGCCGTGGAACCTTTGAGATTTGTGGGAGCGATCGTGACGATCTTGGCGCTAAGTAGGCTACTACTTGAGTCTGACAATCAGCTCTCCCAGTGCTGGGGCTTGTAGCACCACCGGTTTTGGCTACATTCTGGATTCATTTCCTCGTTTCACTGCCGATCCTTATCAGACAATTGAGAAAGGTGGATGTGCTTTAGACTGTAGTGTAGGACAATGGATAAGTTCCATGATTCAGGGACCCCCTGGCTGACCCTACTAGGATCTAGGTGGTGAGACTGAGGATCTATGAGCATACATACAGTCAAAGGTACCATGTAACCACATTAAGAATAGCAATACGCTTTCGAGTAGTTCATTTTCCAAGTCACATAGAAAAGCTCGTCAGCGTCATGCAACAAGACCGTGACCATGAGTTCGGGAAATCTTTGCTGCAAAACATCTCTGGCGTCATCCATGTGAGCGGATGGACCCTCTACAACCCTGCACTATTTTCTCTCTCCTCCCCTGCCATCTTGTCTCTCTCCCTGCCTGCACTATTGTCCCTCTACCTGCACTCATGCCTCTCTGCCTCCCTGCACTCTTGCATCTCTCCCCCCCCTGCCTCCCCGGCGATCTTCCTCCCCCGCTTTCGCGCCCCCCACCCTTCCACCCTCACTACATGCAGCCCCGTCCCCCCCCACACGTGCTCCCGCTGCCCCTTCCCCCAACCCACGTGTTCAAGCTACGGGCACCTACCCACAATCCCTAGCCTACACTTCCTGCCATGCTCTCACGCCTCTCTTTCTACATGCTCCCCCTCCCTCCCTGCTCTCATGCCGCACTCCCTCCCTGCTCTCATGCCTCTCTCCCCCCCACGGCACTCCAGCCGTTCCCCCGCCCCTGCTCCCTATCCTCTCACCCATCCCTGCTCTCCCTCTTCTTCCCGACCCCTTCCCTCCCTCCCCCCCCCCCACTCCCATGCTCTCACTCCCCTCTCCCATGTCCTCACTCCTCTCCCCCTCCCTTGCTCTCACTCATCTCCCCCTCCCCTGCTCTCACTCATCTCCCCCTCCCCTGCTCTCACTCATCTCCCCCTCCCCTGCTCTCACTCATCTCCCCCTCCCCTGCTCTCACTCATCTCCCCCTCCCTTGCTCTCACTCATCTCCCCCTCCCCTGCTCTCACTCATCTCCCCCTCCCCTGCTCTCACTCCTCTCCCCCTCCCTTGCTCTCACTCATCTCCCCCTCCCTTGCACTCACTCCTCTCCCCCTCCCCTGCTCTCACTCATCTCCCCCTCCCCTGCTCTCACTCATCTCCCCCTCCCCTGCTCTCCCTCATCTCCCCCTCCCTTGCTCTCACTCATCTCCCCCTCCCTTGCACTCACTCCTCTCCCCCTCCCTTGCTCTCACTCATCTCCCCCTCCCCTGCTCTCACTCATCTCCCCCTCCCTTGCTCTCACTCATCTCCCCCTCCCTTGCACTCACTCCTCTCCCCCTCCCTTGCTCTCACTCATCTCCCCCTCCCCTGCTCTCACTCATCTCCCCCTCCCCTGCTCTCCCTCATCTCCCCCTCCCTTGCACTCACTCCTCTCCCCCTCCCTTGCTCTCACTCATCTCCCCCTCCCCTGCTCTCACTCATCTCCCCCTCCCCTGCTCTCCCTCATCTCCCCCTCCCTTGCACTCACTCCTCTCCCCCTCCCCTGCTCTCACTCATCTCCCCCTCCCCTGCTCTCACTCACCTCCCCCTCCCCTGCTCTCGCTCATCTCCCCCTCCCTTGCTCTCACTCATCTCCCCCTCCCTTGCACTCACTCCTCTCCCCCTCCCTTGCTCTCACTCATCTCCCCCTCCCCTGCTCTCACTCATCTCCCCCTCCCTTGCTCTCACTCCGCTCTCCTTCCCTGCCGCCCGAGCCGCAGACCGGTCCGTCTTATGGCGCCTCTCAACTCTCATGTCTCCCCCTCATCTCCGCTGTTCACCTCATTCTTCCCCCCTCTCTCTCCTCCCTCCCTCCTTTCCGCAGTTCACCTCATTCCATCACACCCCCCACCTCTCTCTCCTCTCCCCCTCATTTCCGCAGTTCACGTCATTCCCTCATTTCTCCCTTCTGTTTTGCCTCTTTCCCTCCCTGCTCGATCGCATCT